AGTATGGTCCTTTAATAGCAAACTGTTAGCGAACTTAAAGCACACCGGGAAATGCAGGCTCTCTTTAAAAGTAATAGCAGAACATGATGGGGCATAGGAAGTGCTTCCAGATGAACCTGAACCAGTACCAGCTAGTTTTAAGACTTCAGGAAACGGCTCATAGGGGAATTACACCCATCTAGACCACCCTCGCGCCCCAACCCCCACAACCTCCTCGCCCGCCCCTGGGGGATTAAAACCTCAGCTTTGGGCGGGTAGTCAATGGCAACCGTGATCCTCCCAAGGTCTTGGTCCTCGGCAAGGCCACCCGCGGCCACTCCGCCACCGGCGCCTTAGGGGGCTACAATATGCCTCTCTCCCGCTGCGCTGTAGCCAGGCGGCTGTCCCGGCCCCGAGTCCAGTCCAGGCCCCGGTTCCAGTCCAGGCCCCGGTTCCAGAGGCCTCGTGGAGCCTGGCCCCAGGGACCCGCTGGGGCGGCTGCGCTTTCAGGCCCCCGACCCAGCAGCTCTAGCGGCGCCGCAAAACTCTCCGAGGCCCATCTGCTTCTCCCGAGGGTCGCCGTCCCTAACTCCTCCCTCATAGCCCACCACCCTGAGCCAGAGGTTACCTGTTCCCGCAGACGCGCAGCGGCACCCGCCAGGAGTCTCAACAGACCGCAACCCGCACAGCGCTCCCCAATCAGGGCGCCCCGATGGAAAGTGCCCCGCCTAGATTTACCGTTACGAGATACTTATTGGTCATCCAACATGCCAATCAACTCGAGCACGAATCAGCTTACTAGTTGTTTTCCGGGAAGGCGGCTCTAAGTCGGCTGATGCAATGGACGGGAAAAGAAGGGCTGGGATACGTTACGTGACCGGGTAGGATGTAGGCTTCTGGAGGTCGGCATTTTGGTTTGCAAAGTCCTAATAGTTGACCTGGTTAATAAAGGTAACCGGCGACGTGTGTTTGGTAGAGGTCACACTCTTGGTATACAGTTCTGTTCATTTTAGTTGCAAGATGGTGTGCAGACTTAAGGGATTCTGATTTCTCGTGCCCATGGTTACGCTTGTCTTTGTCAGATTTTGGATTTGGTGTGGAAGAAATTACTTACTCGACGAGGGACAATTGAGTTGGCATCTGGTCCTCGATTTGCCTTTGAAAAATAATAAGTATTTATATGCGAGGCATTGCATTTCTCATAGATTATTTCATTTAATTTTTAAACTGCATATGAGGCAGGTCAATGGCATCTCTTCTTACAGATGAGGTAACTGCCTCACCCAAGTTCACACGGAAAAGTTGCAGAGCTATGATCCAAACCCACTCCTGTTTAACTACAAAGCCCATAGTTGTTGGGTTTTTTTCGATTTTATTTATTTATTTATTTGAGAGAGAGAGAGCGTGAGACGGGGGAAGGTCAGAGGGAGAAGCAGACTTGCTGCTGAGCAAGGAGCCCCATGCGGGATTCCATCCCGGGACTCCATCCCGGGACTCCAGGATCATGACCTGAGCCGAAGGCAGTCGCTTAACCAACTGAGCCACCCAGGCGCCCCATGTTGTTGTTGTTTTTTTTTTTTTAATAAGTTCTACACCCAATGTAGGGCTTGAACTCAGCTACCCTGAGATTAAGAGTCCCATGCTCTATACATGGCTCACTCTGAAGTAAAACATTCGCTGAACCTCTTGGGAGATTGGGAAGCTAATAGAGCTCAAGATAGTACAACTTAAATACTTAGTTTTGGAAATATGTAGTCCTAGATTCTAATTCTCCCATGGCACCTAAAATATTTTTATCATCTATAAAATGGACTTAGATCGTTCATTTATTTGCTATCAGGTCAAATGGGAGTGACTGAATACTCTTCAGACCATAAGTTGTTAAGAAATCACCTGATATCTTAAAATGCAGATCCTGATTTAGTAGGTCTAGGAGTGAGGCCTGAGATTCTGCATTCTAATGGGCTCCCATAGGTACTGATATCTGTGCTGCAGCTGCTGCTGGAGGAGGAGGATCACACTTGGAGTAGCAAGGGCATAAACTAGGAATGAGCTTCTTCACCTATTTGTTCAGAGATAAAGACTTAAAAGTTTGACCTACTTAGGGGATGTGTATTCCTCATCTAGTCATTCACCAAATGGGTGTCAATTATGCATTAGTCCCTGAAGGTCACCATTAAGGAATGCAGACACTGCCCTACCCTCATAAAGTTTCCAGTCTAGCAAAGGAGCTGGATATCCAGCAAAAAATGACAAAGTTCAATGCACAAGGGACACCTTGCTGGAGCCTAGACTCAGCCTTTCGCCCCCAGGTACCTGGGTACGCTTGCCGGAGGCTGTGCCGTCCCCTCCGCTGATTGGCTCGCCGGACCAGCTTCCAGGCCTCAGCCAATGAGGTTGGGGCAGTGGGCAGTTGGTGGAGGTAACCGCCACGCTGAGGGGCGATGGCTGGGGCTCCTGGCCGCATCCGAGGCCGCGCCCTGGGGCGCTTTCCACTTGCCTTGCCTGTGGGCGATGTGAGTATCTCTGAGGTTAGAAACAAGACCTCTTTTTCCATATTTAGGCGTCTTCCTCACCCCTACCCCTGGAAGGGAGAGCCAGGAATAGTAATAATAGCTAATATTTATCAAGCCTTCGCCATAGGCCAGTCGCTATATCACATAACCTTTTGACTGTTGAATCATTGAATGATGCAGTGGGTACTTAACCATGACTTCAGAGAATACGGAGGCTGCCAAGGTCATGTGGGAGTAAATGCAGGAGGCTGCATTCTAATCCAGCTGCTCTTATAACTTTGATTCCTCTCTCCACGCTCTGCTTTGGAAGTCGGATTTCTTCTTAGCAGGTGTCTCGCCTTGTGCTGGTATCTGGGGGTGGAGACAGGAGACCCTAGCATCCTGATGCTTATTAAGTTTTGGGTTGTTTTCTTTTTTATTTTTTTTAAGATTGATTTTATTTATTTATTTATTTATTTATTTATTTATTTATTTATTTTTAAAGATTTTATTTATTTATTTGACAGAGAGAGAGATAGCGAGAGCAGGAACACAAGCAGGGGGAGTGGGAGAGGGAGAAGCTGGCTTCCTGCTGAGCAGGGAGCCCGATGTGGGACTCGATCCCAGGACTCTGGGATCATGACCTGAGCTGAAGGCAGACGCTTAACGACTGAGCCACCCAGGCGCCCAAGATTTTATTTATTTATTTGACAGAGAAAGACACAGTGAGAGAGGGAACACAAAGAGGGGGAGTGGGAGAGGGAGAAGCAGGCCTCCCAGAGAGCAGGGAGCCCGATGCGGGGCTTGATCCCAGGACCCTGGGATCATGACCTGAGCCAAAGGCAGACGCTTAGCAACTGAGCCACCCAGGCACCCCTGTTTTCTTTTTTAAATAGAGAAAGCAACACATGGTAAAAAGCATTTATGGGAAGGATAAGCACCATAATTCAGGAGAGCTGCTGTCTCTTGGGGGCTTCAATCAAATCTTAATTGTTTTCTTTCTTAAGCCCTAACATGGGAACCTAGATGTTTATTATGTTATCCCCTTTCTTGTTTGTCTGAAATACAATTTTAAAAGGAAAATATGCCCGTGGAAAATAAATTTCAGAGGATGAAGTGTACACAACGAAAAGAAAGTCTTCTCCTTCCCCAGATTTCTAGAGCGCCTCACTAAAAGCAGTTACTGTTAGCAGATTTGTGTGTATCTCATACATTTTCTATAGTATCTACAAGCACATGAGGGTTTTCTTTTTCACAAGTGGATCCTATTATATACAGTCCTGAACCTTGGATGATTTCTTTTTTAAACTCATTAAACTTAAAAAGAAAAATCCATAACCTCCATTAGCCCTGTGATCAATATAATTTTGCTGGCAAAATATTCCTAGGATTGCTTCTGATATGATGAGATGTAGGTCATGGCTTCTCTGGCTGTGTGTTTGCCTTTTTCTTTTTGAACATCCTCCCCTGTAGGTTCCAAAAAATCTTCACCAAATGAACCCCCTCAAGGGTACAGGAGAAAAAGAATCATGGCAAATAGAGTATTGCCTGGAAGTGTTTTACCCTTTCCTGAACATTCTTACTCATACTCTACAGGTAAAATCCCACATAGAGCCCACTACTGCTTGAAATTAATTTACTGAAGTAGAATAATGGCAAAGAGAGGTAAGTGGGGATTCATTTTCTCAGCTTGCAGGAAAATGCCCAGCTTCTTTATAGTGAAGTAACAAGGGGGAGAGAACCTTGTTTCCCGTTAAGGGAAAGGGAGTGTCACACGTAATCCTTATTTTACCTCTTTTAAAGCCCAAGATTTTTTTTGCCTTTTAAAAAATTCTCCCAATCACGCAACTTTTACATGGGAGCGCTGGGATTCCAACCCAGGCACAGCTAACTCCAAAAGTCATGCCAGATGGGGAAGAGTTCCCTGGGATGAACTCATTTGCTCATTAAGCCGCTTTGCATGGCCCTTTGCCTCTATCTCCTACCAATCTCTTCATCCCTGGCTCTTGTCAATCCCCACCAGAATGTCCTTCAGACACAAACCTCCTTGCTTTTTCTTGTGTCCGATCCTCTAGCTGGAACACATTTCCCTAGCACCTTCCTTGAGTATTTTTGAAGGTGACATTCCTGTAAGTGGTGTTGCCACATAGTTTGCGGGATAAATTTTTAACCAAATGGTGTTTGACATGGCTGACTGCCAACCCCTGAACACTGAAAATGACCAACCTTAAGATGTTGTTTCAATACGCATTTTGGTGACTACCGTATCTGTAATGGTTGTGTTTTGATATATTCAATCTATATGAGCTTCTATGCCGGCGTGCTGGGTGGGAAAGTGGTTTTGCTCGTGGGTTGGAGAGCCAGTTGGCAGTCAGAGTTTCTGGACGTTAGAGAAGAAAGGCTGAGCTAAGCAGGGGTCAGGGTTGTGGGTCTAAAAGCGATGGAAACTACAGCTCGAAGCGGGCGAGGGGCGACTGGGCGGGCGCAGATCTGACGTCACTACGGCGCGCCGCTTCCGGTCCCCAGCTCCTGAGCGAATGACTTCTCCCTCGGTGGGGCTGGAGCTGGGTTTGCTGCGACCCCAGGGAGCCCACGATCGCGCCGCCCCAGCCAGGGAGTCTGCCAGCACCAGCGTCTCACCGGCGCCTGGGACCATGGCCACCGACTCGTGGGCTCTGGCGGTGGACGAACAGGAGGCGGCGGCCGAGTCGGTGAGTTGGCTTCAGCCGTAAAAGGGTCAGGGGGTCAGTTTTGGCCGGGGATCACTCCTGGATAGGACACTCACTACTTTGGTCAGGACGGGTATGGAGTGCGTGTGAGGATGGAGCCTGGACCCTGAACTGGCTTTATTTATCCATCCGCCTCCTGGGTTACATGAGAGCAGGTGAGTGCTCCCATGGATGAAGAGCCCAGCCGCCTGTCTTCCGGGAATCGAGACTGATTGTAGATTGTTGCACTCTCCCCACTTGGATTATAATCACCTTTGTGTCATTCTCCACCTCTGGATTCTGAGCTTCCTGGGCTGTGGGACCGTGGCTTACTCGTCTTTGTGTACTTCCTTGCTCGCTTAATGATGATGAATGATCGACTCTGTAGGCCTGGTAGTCAGTAAGTAAATCCTCTTCTGATCACCTTAGCTTTATTCTGGGCCTCACACACATTAACCAAGAGATGACTTAAACGTGACTATGTAGAATTAATTCCTCCACCTAAACACTCTTAAGTTCTGATAGTACTTTGAACCTACTTCTGTTAGTACTTATTTCTGTGAATTTCTTGAGAACAAGGACTTTGTCTTATTTTTTATATAACTGATAATATATGCACATAATTAAAAGAATCAAAAAGTTTTTAAAAATATTTTATTTATTTGACACAGACAGCGAGAGAGCGAATACAAGCGGGGGAGTGGGAGAGGAAGAAATAGGCTCCCCACTGAGCAGGGAGCCCGATGCGGGACTCCATCCCAGGACCCTGGGATCATGACCTGAGCTGAAGGCAGATGTTTAACGACTGAGCCACCCAGGCGCCCGGAGTCAAATAGTTTTAAAAACTGGTTCCACTGGGCGTCTGGGTGGCTCAGTTGGTTAAGCGTCTGCCTTCGGCTCAGGTCATGATCCTGGAGTCCCTGGATCGAGTCCCACATCGGGCTCCCTGCTCAGCGGGGAGTCTGCTTCTCCCTCTGACCCTCCTCCCTCTCATGCTCTCTGTCTCTCATTCTCTCTCTCGCAAATAAATAAAAAATTAAAAAAAAAAATTAAAACTGGTTCCACCATCACCAATTTTTTCCTCCTCAGAGACAACTAATAGATCTTTTGAAGCTAATTTACATCATTGACCTCCTTGTTCTCTAAATAGCATGTTTGTTTTGCTAGTTTTTGAATTTTCAGTTTTAGGTATTTACTGATTTTGATTTTTTTTTTCTGATTTTGATTCTTTTCTCCTTTCTTTTTCCACCACAGATGCACACCTTCCCACTCCCTACCTTTTCATTATAATTTTAGTTAGATCAGTATTTCATGTTTACATTATTAGTAGCTTATGAATACTTTTACTTTCCTATAAAACTTTGTTTTTCCTTGGAATTTATAATTGCCTTGCATTTTTGCTTCATGTTTTTGGTACTTATCCCAACTCGACCCCAAGCTCTTTGCTAATTGTTTAGTTTATCTCAGGATGTTCAGACACATTAAGTATTAATTTGGAGCGCCTGGGTGGCTCAGTCATTTAAACGTCTGACTCTTGATTTCAGCTTAGGTCATGATCTTGGGGTGGTGAGATCGATCCCCGTATGGGGATCCACACTCAGCATGTAGTCTGCTTAAGATTCTCTTTCTCTCCCCTCCCCCCGCTTGCTTTCTCTCTAAAATAAATAATAAAATCTTCAGTTAAAAAAAAAGTATTCTGTTAATTCTATTTCCCCTAGGTCTTTTAGCCTACTTCATATTGGACTAGTTCTCCCTATGCTTAGAGCAGAACTCATTTTGGTGACTGGAGGGGAACAGGCAGATTTCCTTTCACCTTCATTCTGGGGATTCACTCTTCTCTTGTGTTGGATCCCCTCCTTTCTCTATCCCCTCTCTCCATCTTTATTGATTTGGTGAAACCACCCATCAGTTTTCTAGAGGTGTCTCACAAGTTTTTTTTTGTTTGTTTTCTATGATACTGTTGCATTTCTGGAAATACCTTATTTTGCCCTATCATTTGGATAGCTGGGTATAGAGCTGTAGGTTGGAAATTAATTTCCTACCAAATTTTAAAGGCATTGTTTCATTGTCTTTTAGACTTCTTTATTGGTTATTGAGATGTCTGAGATCATTCTGATTTCTGATGTGACCTGTTTTTCTCTTTGTAATCCTGAAGAATCTTCTATTTGTTTCCAGTATACAGAAAATTCATGATAATGAATCTTGGTATGGGTCTTTTTTCATCCATTTTGCTGGCCCTGGGTGGGTTGTATCATCCTTTATTTATTTATTTTTAAGTAATCTCTATACCCGATGTGGGGCTCGAACACACAACCCCAAAGTCAAGAGTTCATGCTTTTTTGACTGAACCAGCCAGGCGCCCCTGGGTGGGTCCTTTCAATCTGGAAAATTCTTGTCCTTAAGTTATGAGAAATTTTCTTGAAATATTTTGTTGTTCATTTCTCCACCTTTGTTTTTTCTTTGCCCTCTTTCAAGAATTCTTACTAGTTGACTGTTGGATCTCTTGGGCTGGCCCAATTTTTAAGTCAAGTTTATTGAGGTATAAGTTACATATAGTAAAACTCACCCTTGTTCAGTGAATTTTGACAAAGGCATTCAGTTGTGTAACCACCACCACAATCAAGATACGGAACATTTCCACCACCTCCAAAAGTTCCCTCAAACTTTCGCAGTCACTCCCTTCTCCCCACCCTTCTCCGGCAGCTGCTGATTTGTTTTCTGTCTCTTTAGATTTGCCTATTCTGGATATTTTATATAAGTTGAATCATACAATATGTGGTCTGTTGTGTCTGGCTGCTTTCACTTAGCATAATATTTTCAAAGTTTGTCCCTGTTGCAGTAGGTGTCATTACTTTTTATTGCCAAATAATAGTCCAGTGTCTAGATATATCATATTTATCCATTCATCAGTGTCCATTGATGAGCATTTGGATTGTTTCTACTTTTTGGTTATTATGAATAATGTTACTGTGATTATTCATGTACAAGTTTTTGTGTGGACATTTCAAATCTCTTGGGTATACACCTAGAAGTGGCATTTCTGGATTATATAATAACTCTATGTTTAACTTTTGAGGAACTGTCAGACTTTTCCAGAGTGGCTGTACCGTTGTATCATCCTTAAAATGATTATTTTCTATGAGATTAGTATTAACTATGACAGGCACCATTCTGTAGAGGTTAAAACCTTAGCCTTTATAGCCAGACAGTCTAGAATTTGTATTCTAGGTCCATCGTTTACTAGTTATATGACTTCGGGCAAATCGCTTAATCTTTCTGTGCCTCGGTTTCCAAATGGAGATAATCATAATACCTACCTCACTGAGTTATGGACATGCCTGTTATAAGTGCTACGTAAGTAATAGCAATTGTTGTTTTTTTGTTTTTAAAGATTTTATTCATTTGAGACAGAGATAGAGAGAGAGAGCATGAGCAGGGGAGAGGCAGAGGGAGAGGGAGAAGCAGGCTCCCCACCGAGCCAGGAGCCAGATGTGGGGCTCGATCCCAGAACCCTGAGATCATGACCTGAGCCGAAGGCAGACGCTTAACCATCTGAGCCGCCCAGGCGCCCGCAATTGTTATTATGCATAAATCACAGTTCCTTTGCAGGAATCTTTTTTTTTTTTAATGTTTTAAATAATATTTTATTTGAGAGAGAGGGGGAGAGAGGGAGAAGCAGGGAGCCCAACGTGGGGCTTGATCCCAGGACTCTGGGATCATGACCTGAGCTGAAGGCAGACGCTTAACCGAGCCACCCTGGTGTCCCTGCAGGAATCTTTTAAATTACTTGTCCATATTCTATGGATTAGATAGTTGAACCTGGGTAAGATTTGTGAATCTACTTAACCATGCACAAGTAAATTAGATCACAATATTCCAAAACTGAGCAAATGAGTAAAGACGCCTCTGTTACCCTCTGCCTTACGGAACTCTCACTGAGGACACTGCACGACATAGGTGACAGTGATGTGTATAGTGCAAGGTTACTGTATTTTAAATATTCATTAAGCTTCATGCCTTATTTATTTTAGATAAGAAAATACTAGATTCTATTTATATTTATTTCCTCCTCCCCCCGTGGCTCCTCTCTTTGTTCCCCTCTGTTCCTTTGGGAGATTTCTTTTTAGAGGAGGGCAAACAGATAAGAAAACTGATGAGTATGACCCTACTCTATGTCCTCTACTTCACCATTTTGCCAAAGATAATCCCTATTCTGTATAGTTAACTTACCTTTAAATCTTTTATGTCTCAAGAATCCTTTCTTACGTAGCTTTTGAATAAAATGCAGTGTGTAACTGTAGAGTTTTCAATTATTTTAACATATCTTAAAAACTAAAATATTAAAGGCATTGAAAATATGGCTATTAAAAAGTGGATTTTTTGCTTTGTTGCCTTTTGGTTAATTTCAGAATGGTTTCTGACGAAGTTACAAGAGGAGTTGGTTTCTCCTCTTTGGTCCAAGTAAATAGAGCAAAGGAAGGTATCTAAACTGTACTTTCAATATAAGTTTCAGTGTTCAGTTCACGGACATTGCACTGGGTAATACAGACTTCACTGTCTCTGCTTTACGGGCTTGGAGGTCCCCAGAGCCAAGTGAGGGGCGAGTTTGTTTTTAGATTCCTGTTTTTAGATTCCGCTGGAACCTATCCAGAATCCTGATACGTTGTAATCAAAACATCTATTGGTTTCACTTACATTGTTACTACCACCTTTACTACATATTGCATTTTAGTTACTTTCACTGTTACTTTACTCTGTTAACTTCAGTTTGAACAGTATATCAACAAAAGAATGGTTTGTCTTTTTTATCATTGGGTATTAAAATGTTTTACAGTAATAGATGTTTGTAACTCATTTATACTTCATTAACTCACTTATACCTCAGCCCTATCATTTGTTTTAGCTAGCAATTATCACCCTAGGAGTGAGTACTATTAACCTAACTGTTGTAAATATTGCCAGTAAGTCAGGCAGTCTGTCTGTATGTTTGTCTGTCTCTCTCTCTACCCCTGGCTGCGCAATCTCTCTCTCTCTCCCTCTTAATAGACCTGGATACTACACGTTTTTAAACAGGGTTTGTTGGTAGGATGTGGAGAAGTGTTTTAGAGAAGACCAAATATACTGAACACCTACCTGCTGTGTATCATGCACTGCGCTGGTCACTTCATATTCATTGTCTGTTAGTGTGTTTGCTATCATGTGGAATTAATGAAGGATTTTTACTGCTTTATGATGATTTCCTTTTTTGCCATTTCCTTTCTTGCCAGTCTCTCCAGTGTGTTCCCCCCTACTCCTTCCCCTAACACCAAAGCAGAGACACCAGAAACTCCCTTTTCAGTTTCCAACAATAGAAGTGTGGTTCCTCCATCCCAACTAACCATCCATTAAAAGAGACGTTTGTTTCATACCTCTCTTGCCTTTCCCCTTTCCTGGACTTAGAGGAAAGGCAGAATGAACCTCAAAACATAAAGAACCACTGTAGGTGGTGCTTTAAGAAATAGCCATTTTCATTCTTACCCTTCACTAGATGATGTCCTAAGCCCCACTTAATATTTTATGATTAGAGCACCTGCTTTGTGCTAGATCCAAAGATCAATTAAATAAAAATACTCCTGTCCTTAAGGTATTTTCTACACCTCCCCCCAGCTTTTATGAGGTGAAACTGACAAATAAAAGGGTATTTTCATTCTGCTAGAGGAGAGAAGTCCTGCCAGGATATGCTTAATTTACGGTGTTTGATCAAAGTCCTAATAATTCTTTCTCTGAAATGTCTCTCTGCTCTGACCCTTCCTTTGTATTCCTACTTCAGATTGTTAGGTATTTTGATTACACAGTGTGCCACAATGCCCCAGACTGTTCAGTTTCAAATATTAGACTTCCACCACAAGGCAAAGAACAAGGCAACCTGAATATGAGGGTGCATATCAGCATATTGCGGTCCTGAAGCTCAAACCTATCATGCAACGTAACTGATTCCCGTTCACAGATGCTTTTTGTTGCAGCCCTCCCACCTTGATGTTCTTGTCTGAAGTGTGACTGCATTTTCCAAGATCTTTTAAAATTTCCTGTTGTTTGGAATATGAGAGAATGACAAATGGTATTCTACTGAGAGAGTCTTTGTAATCAGGGCATTAAGCAAACTCATAAATTATAATTTTCTCTAGGAACTGTAATTAGGGAGTGTGGATTTTGAGTCATTTATGTAACCAGTTCTTTTTCTACTTCTATGTTTATGGGAAATTTTGTTTATTCTCACTCATTTAGTTGACAAAAGGAGCCCAGCAGAACAACTTAATGAATAGATCTTGAGAGTAGCTCATTTCTCCCCAGCTTCACTGGGGAGGCTCTGTTGATTCAAAATCTTTTAAGTGATTTTCCTGACACTTTCCCCCCTCCCCCCATATTCTCCATTTAGTTGAGCAACTTGCATCTTAAGGAAGAGAAAATCAAACCAGATGCCAATGGTGAGTAAAAGCTAGTTTGAAAACAAATGTGATTTCCTTTAGTATTTCTGCTTTGACATAATAACTATCTGGAAAAAAAAATTATATATGTACCAAAGCAGGGGGCTGGCAGAAAGTGGCAATCATTTGATCTGGGAACTAAGCTGGATTGTTTTGCTTTGTATTGTGCTTAAAATAAGCATGAGATTGCCTAATTGACTTATATACTGACCATGAGAACATACAACAAAGTATGAGCAATCTGAGAGTTAACCTATTGCCATTCTGAAATGTCTACCCCAAATCCAAGATTTCCATTAAATTTTTGTTGATGTACATAATATTATGGGGGGTGGATAGTAACATTTACCTCATTCCAAATTCATTTACAATCTTTTTCTGTAATTTTTTCATACCTACAATGTTGTTTGAATATACATTTCTATTAAACAACAGTTTATATACATAGAATCTTAATGGCATTACAGTGTTCATATACTGATGAAATATGGTTTGCATAGATACTCCTCCGTTGAGCATCAAGGTGGTTTGTGATCATTGCCTGCTGTGATCATCTTCTGTAACATTCAGAAATACCCATGCTATGAGGGAAAGTCCCATTAGTGTTTGATGTACCATGAGAGGACTCGGAATAGGGAAGAACTGAAATATAAGCAACACTGTTTCATACCTTTGTTTATTTAAGAACAATAAAATGCTTTTATCTGTGGCTTGGTTTCCTCATTTATTTTTCTGCTCCCCAGGCCTTTACATTTCTAGTGTCTCATAGAATTTGAATTGTCTCAGCTGTTGGGTATGGGATGTAATATTGAATGACGGCCACTTTGTGTCTGATAAAGGTGCTGTTGTCAAGACCAATGCTAATGCAGAGAAGGCAGATGAAGAAGAGAAAGGTAACACAGCCTAGAGCTATGCCCATGAGGTTCTACAGTCCTAAGAGAATAGATTGTTACAAAGCTTCATTTTTATACCCAACTTGGCTTGACTTTAATGGGAGTCATAGTGCTAATAAACACTCAACATAGTTGTTGCTGAAGGAATTCTCAATGTTTACATTTTAGAGAAATTTTACTTTGAGCAACTGATGGACTTCAACAGTCGCAGGAAATATGCCCTGAATGATGATCTTTTACAGGGCATTATAAAAGAAATTTTAAGTCGCATCCCCATTGTCTACTAAAGTTAATGCTATTTGGACACATTAAAGGTGGATAACAACATACAGTTTATATGATATCAAGATACAAACTTTTTAATTTCTGGGTTTTTTTTCATTGGGCCAAGCTAATAATTTTCAATTTTCTATTGAGCACAAACTGGGGAGTAAGTACTTGGGTTGACATAGGAAGAGTAGATAACCTCCAGAAAGGAGGGTTTGGAATAGAGTCCTGGAGAGGAATATGAGGCCCAACTGCATGATATCAGTATCAAAATCTTAATCTTTAAAAAAGCAATTTTAATTCTATTTATAAGTCAAAATTATGATATGTCTTGAATTAGAAGTCCTAGCATGAATACATGTTAGTGCTTTAAATGCCAATGACAAGTGAATTCAGATGAGCTCATGGTGGATTTCATGGCCTTTTAAAATTCTTTGCTCTCAAAAAAAATTACAAAGATGAAATTCTTTGTTGTCTTTTTCCTGACAGAGGACAGAGCTGCCCAGTCCTTACTCAACAAGCTGATCAGAAGCAACCTTGTGGATAACACAAACCAGGTGGAAGTCTTGCAGCGGGACCCAAATTCCCCACTCTACTCAGTGAAGTCCTTTGAGGAGCTTCGGCTGTGAGTGTTTACTTTCTGACTCTCTCCTTTGTGTTAGAGACCCTAGGCCTATTATGTTTGTGTGTATGTGTGTGTATATTTTATCACAGAACATTTTTAGCTAATACAAGTTTATTTTTTTAATTTTTTTTTTTAAATGCAAAAATGGGGTTTTTTTTTAAAGCAGGAGCACAGGACCATGGGCAGAAAGAGCTGCTGCTAGCTAATACAAGTTTAATGAAAGAATTTAGCTGCTTTGGGCTGTTAAGTAAAATTTCCAGGTAATGTGAATTGTGCCAAGTGCACAATTCAAGTATTATTCGTTGTAAGTAAACTGTGTGTAACAACAGTAAGAAAGAGAGGAAAAAGTCCCTCAGACATTTGACTTCGTTCCTCAACCAAAGAGACAGTGACTTTCATCTCTGTTTTCCCAGGAAACCACAGCTTCTCCAGGGAGTCTATGCCATGGGCTTCAATCGTCCATCCAAGATACAAGAGAATGCACTGCCTTTGATGCTTGCTGAGCCGTATGTATCCTGATACAACTCTATCCCATTTTTAGTTTTCCATTTTTAAAAATTTATTTATTTAAAAAAAACTATACTGGTAATACATGCTTATTTTAGCAAAGTTAGAAAATAACAAATAAGAAAAATTGTAATCTTCCCCCACCCACTATACTAATATTTAGAGACTTCTAGACTTTTTTTTACATAAACTCACATATTTATACCTTTTTTAAAAAATGGAACCATATGAAATCTTAAATGCTTTTTAAAAACTTAGATGGTTATCTTTCTATGTTGGTAAATAAACATTCATCATTCATATACACCATGCTTTCATTAGATGGATATATAAAATGTATTATGTCAAATACAGTAAGCAAAAACCAAGTAGGATTCTGGGAAACCAGAATAGGGTAATTATTAAGGTGGTTTTGTAGTGCAGTGCTTTTCATACTTTCATAGGCACATGAATCTCCTAGGAATTTATTAAAATGCAGATTCTCATTTCAGTCCATCTGAGGTTCACTATTTCTAAGAAGCTTCTAAAGTGATGTTGATGTTGCTAGTTTCAGACCACATTTTGAGCAAGAACATTCAAGAGCATGCGGAACTTGTTATAAAAACTGATCCCTACATTATATATGATTATGTAAAGTTGTACTGCATATAATCCTAAATCCTGAAACTCCTCTCATATAGTCTAAAAATAGACATTTTAGGTCTGTATTTTCTTTTTCTTTGTTCTGTGTCTTAATAGTGACTTTTTTCATGATGAATAATGTCTCTTTTTAGCTTGACACTTTGAGCATCTATGAAAAGCATTAAGATCTATAAATACGAATGACCAATGTGAAACAAATAAATATTCCATTTATGCACCTCTAAGTATGTTCAATTTTTAAATCATCAATGTTAGAAGAGACCTGAGAGAATTATCTAGTACCTTTCTTCATTAACAAATATGTATTGAATGCAGGTATGTAACATACTATCCTAGGCATTTGGTTACATTAGTAAACAAAGCAGACCAAAATTCCTGCCTATAAGGAGCTTAATCTGGAGTATAGATTATTTTTATTAAATTTATTAAATGTATTTTTATTAAAAATAAATATATATAGTATATAGTGTGTTAGAAAGTTGTAAATGTAATTAATGCCACTGAATTGTACACTTAAAAGCTATTTTTAAAGAAGGTGATAAATACTGGGGCGCCTGGGTGGCTCAGTGGGTTAAGCATCTGCCTTTGGCTCGGGTCATGATCCCAGGGTCCTGGGATCAAGCCCCGCATCAGGTTCCCTGCTCAGTGGGGAGCCTGTTTCTCCCTCTCTCTCTGCCTCCCTGCCACTCCCCCTGCTTGTGCTCTCTCTCTGTGGGTCAAATGAGTAAATCTTAAAAAAAAAAAGTGATAAATACTAATGAGAAAAAGAGCATAATAAGGGAGATCAGGAATACCAAGGGAACTGACTGCAATTTTCCCCCAACATTATATTATGAAAATTGTCAAAAAACAAAATTGAGAGGATTTTTTTTTTGAGAGTAGAGAGAGAGCACTAAAGTGGGGTGGGGAGGGGCAGAGGGAGAGGAAGAGAATCTTAGCAGGCTCCATGCCCAGCACAGAGCCCCACACAGGGCTAGATCTCATGACCTGAGCCAAAATCAAGAGTTGGATGCTTAACTGAGCCATCCAGGTGCCCTAAAGTTGAAAGGATTTTATAGTGAACATCCGTATGTCCATCACCTAGACGCTGTCACTAACATTTTACTGTACTTTATCACATATCTATCCACCAATACCTCATTTTTTAAGGCATTTCAAAGTAGGTTGCAATTTTAATCAAGTGCTTAGGGTAGGATCTCATCAAGTAGGTGGTGTGTGAGCAAAACCTTGAAGGAGAGAGAGTTGACATGTCATTTGGGGACAGCTGTCCCAGCAGACTACAGAAACCCTGGGATGGGGAATGGCTGGCATGCTTTTGGGGCAGCACCAAGGCCTTTGTGGGGGTGGGTAAGGGAGCAGGTGGTAGGAGCTGAGAACAGAGAACTACTAGGGAGCCAGATCAGGTGGGACCCTGTAACACAGGATTTTTACTTTTACTCTGAATGAAATGGGGAATGACTGGAAGGCTTTTGAGCAGAGCAGTGACATGTGCTGACTCACATTTTAAAAGAATCACTGGCTGCCGTGTCGAGAATAAAAGATATGGAGTGCTTTAAATCCCACCAGTCTTCTCTCTGTGGTGCTTTGTTTGTGGGGCAAGCATGTGTAACTACTGCAGAAATCAAAGCCTCCTTCCGTAAACTAATTTATTCTTCATTGTTATTAACTAAAAGGATACTTGAGATTTAAGCCCTTAAACAGTTTGTTTTCTTGTGCAGCCCACAGAATTTAATTGCCCAGTCTCAGTCTGGCACTGGTAAAACAGCTGCCTTTGTGTTGGCCATGCTCAGCCAAGTAGAACCTGCAAACAGATACCCCCAGGTAAGGGCTTGGTAAATTTGGATTTTCTGCTAATGTGTAGCTAGAAATTACATTTGATGGACTGAAAGCCAAGATGCATATTACTTTTTACATAAACCAGAACACCTTGTCTAGCACAAACAATATGGTTGATCTTCCAGTAGCAACATGCATCCTATTCCCTTTCCATGGTTTGCCAGTTCTGAGATACTGCTGACAGGCTTGGCACCTTTACTTTCAGAAAAACTCTTCTAGGGCGCCTGGGTGGCTCAGTCGTTAAGCATCTGCCTTCAGCTTGGGTCATGATCCCAGGGTCCTGCGATCGAGCCCTGCGTCGGGCTCCCTGCTCAGTGGAGAGCCTGCTTCTCCCTCTCCCACTCCCCCTGCTTGTGTTCCCTCTCTCTCTGTCAAATAAATAAATAAAATCTTAAAAAAAAAAAAAAGAGAAAGAAAGAAAAAACCTCTTCCATCTACAACTATCATCCTTTGGAAAGTTCTGAGAACTTTCTGAGTAAGTGAAAAGGAAGCTAATCTCCACCTGGAATTTCAGATCCTTGCTCTCATGTGGGTTTTTATATTCCTGTGGCCAATAGCTATTTTCAAGTGTATTTACCCAGCCAGAGTTCTAACCTTACGAATTCTAACTTATGACTTTGCAGCTTAAAGAATCAAATGGCGTGCACTTTAATTTACATGCTCTTCTTCAGCCTTAGCTGGAGGAATAAGTCCTGATGGTGATTCCCCACTGCCCTTGACATCTCACTCTGCACTCTCTCCCTGCCAGTGTCTGTGCCTCTCCCCAACTTATGAGCTCGCCCTTCAAACAGGAAAAGTGATTGAGCAGATGGGCAAATTTTACCCTGAACTGAAGCTAGCTTATGCTGTCCGAGGCAATAAATGTGAGTATGAATATATGATCCTAGTTCATTAACCTAACAACTTCTATTTTAAAAATTTCAAAACATATACAGTAGTTGAAATAAAAATGAACATTTCACCTAGATTTGAAAATTTAACATTTTACCAAATTTGCTCTATATGTGTGTGTATGTTTTTGGGGAAACATTTGAAAGTAAATTGCAGACACTGTGGATCTTTACTCCTAAATACTTTAGCATGGGGGCACCTGGCTGGCTCAGTCAGGAGAGCATGTGACTCTTGATTTCAGAGTTGTGAGTTTAAGCCCCACATTGGGTGTAGAGATTACTTGGAAATAAAATCTTGGGGCACCTGGATGGCTACCAGTCAGTTAAGCAGCTGACTCTTGATTTCAGCTCAGGTCTTGATTTCAGGGTCGTGAGTTCAAGCCCCACATGGTGCTCCACAATGGGAGTGGAGCCTACTTAAAATTCTTTTTTTTTTTTTTTTTAAGATTCCATTCATTCATTCATTTGTCAGAAAGAGAGCACAAGCAGGGGGAGCGGCAGGCAGAGGGAGAAACAGGCTCCCTGCTGAGCAAGGAGCCCAATGTGGGACTCTATTCCAGAACCCTGGGATCATGACCTGAGCTGAGGGCAGATGCTTAACCCACTGAGCCACCAAAGTGTCCCTTAAAGAAATCTTTAAAAAAAAATTTTTTTTAAATAAATACTTTAGCATGCATCTCATAATAGGACGTTCTTCAGCATACCCACAAAACCCTTATCACAACCAAGACAATTAGCAGATTCTCTAATAACTAGTATCTGGTCCATTTTTATTTTTCCCCGATAGTCCTAAAAGTCCCATAGTCTTTATGGCGATTTTGTTTTTGAACCAAGATCAAATTGGTGTGGATGCACTGCATTTGGTGTTGTGTATCTTACATTTCTTTAAATCTAGAATAGTCCCTCCACCTCCGCCTCCTCCCAGTACATCTGACTTTTTGAACAGGCCAGACCAGTTGCTCATAAAATGCTGCACATTCTGGATTTGTTTAATTGCCTAATTTCTTTTTAATGATATTAGAAGAACAAAAATGTTCTAGAATATTCATGACAATTAACTCTGGCATTTAATTTTTTTTTTTTAAGATTTTATTTATTTGAGAGAGAGAATGAGAGAGAGAGAGAGAGACCCATGAGAGGGGGGAGCGTCAGAGGGAGAAGCAGACTCCCCGCTGAGCAGGGAGCCCGATGTGGGACTCGATCCCGGGACTCCAGGATCATGACCCGAGCTGAAGGCAGTCGCTCAACCGACTGAGCCACCCAGGCGCCCTGGCATTTAATTTTTTTAATTGAGTTATAATTAACAGTGTTTTATTAGTTTCAGCTATATAATGATACAGCAATTCTGTATTTTTCTCAGTTCTCATCAAAATAAGTGTAATAAATGTAAAGGATCCCCTGTATCTATTTCACCCAACTGCCACCTACCTCCCCTCTGGCAAACAAGTTTATTCTCTGTATTTAAGAGTCTTGTTTTTTGTTTGGAGCTTATTTTTATTATTTTTTCTTTATTCATTTTTCCTACTTTTGTTTTGCAACAAATTAACAATATTTAAGTAATTTAAAAAGTGTTGAAAGTTTGGCCATGAATCTTTAACACGTGTAACTATGACTCATAGAAATCCACTCAGCGTACAATATCCTAATACTAACTTGAAGTTGCTTCTAAAAAGTAGTACGATTATAAAACTTAGTGGAAGATGATCATAATACATTTAAAATTTTGCAGTTTGGGTCGAAGTTAGAATGCCAGAGTCTGAGTAACTGTTGTGGGAGGCAGTAATTGGTTTGTTTAACAGAAGTAAGAGGCAGCATTTATTGGCTTTGAATTGACTCAACATTCACATTTGGGCAAAATTTTGGCAGTGGTTAGAAGGAGTTTGTGTATGTCAGCTCAAGGTTGTAATTAAAGGACTTAAATTCAATCTATAAATGCCATCTAATTCAAAATGAAGAGCCACATCTCAGTTTCAAACCGCACACGGTCAAGAATGTACCATGGTCCACCAGGTCTTGTCTGGGGAAGCACTTTACCTAAGAGAAGCAGTTTGTGTTTGAGAAAGCAAAGCCATTCATGATGAATCCTATTTTCTGACCTGGGCAAGGGGTGTGTAAAGGCAACCGGCTTGTTTGATGTAGATGCCAGGATAGTTGAGGGGCAGAGTGCACTGGAGAGAGCTTGTGAGGAAGTGCAACCTCGGGCTGGGGGAATGATGCTGACAGAGAAGAAAGAAAGATAACAGATCCTCCTTGAAAGAGAACTGGATGACTACAGAGAATGGACAAGAACACTACTGAAGAGGCTTTCATCTTGTCACTGTTTCTATCCTTACGATGTCTTTTCAGCATTATTAAATACTATAATGATATTATAACCTTTCCTTAAGATATTAATGCAAACATCAAAATAGTTGCATTAAAATACATCATAGCTTTAGATTTTCTCAAAGAGGAAAGCTGGCTTTACCATGGAAATACCCACAGAAAACATCTTGTCTCCACAGTGGAAAGAGGTCAGAAGATCAGTGAGCACATTGTCATTGGCACCCCTGGGACTGTTCTGGACTGGTGCGCCAAGCTCAAGTTCATTGACCCCAAGAAGATCAAGGTGTTTGTTCTGGATGAGGCCGACGTGATGATAGCTACTCAGGGGCACCAAGATCAGAGCATCCGCATCCAGAGGTAGGAACTCTTGAGCCAAGAGGAACTTCTCAGCCTCCTGATCTGCAGCATCTTCTCCTTTTACTTCAAACACTTCTTCTTGCTCCCGTCAGGTTCTTTACTTTAGTACTTCCAGAAGCATTTGTTCGATGGGCCATTTCCTCATCAGCACTGACCGTGGGTTGAGGAAGGAGACTTAGGGAATCTAACACCAGCCCCATTCCTGCCCCATGGCTGCTCTCACCTCCTCCCTGCTGTTCTCCTCCCCCTTTTGCCACTTTCCTCGGCATGTAGACCATGCAAGCCGGGGCGGCTTTCTTCTGTTCCTTCCAGGGAAAGACTCGGGATCATGCCACATACTACCTGGGTCTTCCCTTGCAGGATGCTGCCCCGGAACTGCCAGATGCTGCTTTTCTCTGCCACCTTCGAAGACTCCGTATGGAAGTTTGCCCAGAAAGTGGTCCCAGACCCAAACATTATCAAACTGAAGCGCGAGGAGGAGACATTGGACACCATCAAGCAGTATTACGTCCTGTGCAATAACAGAGATGAGAAGTTCCAGGCCTTGTGTAACCTCTACGGGGCCATCACCATTGCTCAGGCCATGATCTTCTGCCATGTGAGTAGCAGTGGAGGCGGTAGGCCTGCCTGGGGAGGAGCTGCACTGGAGGGGGTGCCTGCCCCTCCTCTCAGCCCGCTCGTCAGTGGTGAGGAGGACCAGGTGCCCTGTGTGACCAGAAAGGAAATGATGAATCGCCTCCACCTGCCTCAGGGAGTATTCTCAGATTGTAATAAGTTATGAGGGAAAGACTGTGAAGATTTGAACCTTCTTAGGTTCTACTTCTTAGAGATAACTTGGAAAATACTCCAGATAACATCCAATGAAATAATTCTTTTTTTTTTAAGATTTTTTTTTTATTTATTTGACAGAGAGAGACACAGTGAGAGCAGGAACACAAGCAGGGGGAGTGGGAGAGGGAGAAGCAGGCCTCCCGCTGAGCAGGGAGCCCGATGCGGGGCTCGATCCCAGGAGTCTGGGATCATGACCTGAGCCGAAGGCAGCCGCTTAACGACTGAGCCACCCAGGGCACCCCTCAAATAGTCTATATTCTTAATGTTTTATAATTATTTCATTGGGGTGGCTGGGTGGCTCAGTCGTTAAGTATCTGTCTTCGGCTCAGGTCATGATCCCAGACTCCTGGGATCGAGCCCCGCATCGGGCTCCCTGCTCAGCGGGAGGCCTGCTTCTCCCTCTCCCACTCCCCCTGCTTGTGTTCCTGCTCTCACTGTGTCTCTCTCTGTCAAATAAATAAAAAAAAAATCTTAAAAAAAAAAAAAAGAATATAGACTATTTGAGAATGAAGACCTTTGGCTCACACCTCACTCTTCCTAGCTGAACACTAAGATGATTTTAAGTAATTCATCAAAAAAAAAAAAAAATGACATGGCTAAAATTATTTGTGAAATTTCTAAGCCTTTCCTGCTGACTCAACTCAGCAGGTCTTCATGTACTTTAACAGCAATAAACCACTTTTTTGCAGGTATCTTTTTTTTTTTAACATTAAAAATATTCATTTAAAACAATTCTGTTCACTCCAGACCCGCAAAACAGCGAGCTGGCTGGCAGCAGAGCTCTCAAAAGAAGGCCACCAGGTGGCCCTGCTGAGTGGCGAAATGATGGTGGAGCAGAGGGCTGCGGTGATCGAGCGCTTCCGAGAGGGCAAAGAGAAGGTGCTGGTGACCACCAACGTGTGTGCCCGCGGTGAGCAGGGAATGCGTCTGTCCGCCAGGCCCCGGGTCGGCAGGGAAGTCCTCCTATACAGGGCACTCCACTGGTTTGAGGGAGTCCACGTGGGGTTGGTGCTGGAGAGACTGGATTCCCCCGGCAGATAAGAACTGTCACAGAAGCCAGGGGCCCCGATGCTGGAAGGACACAGACCAGCATCTCACTGGTTCAGGACAGTGCCTGCTCTCTCTGGGGCCCCCACTGAGGTTCTGGCTGCATCTCCAGGTACTGGTGTCTAGCAGAGGCTCGCTCACTGGCAGTGTAATTTTGTTAGCACCTGCCCAAGTTCTGTTTTTCCCTCTGGGTTCTGCTGCGTGCCCCCGTCCCCGAATCCCAGAGCCGGCCTGCCCCAGACTCTTCCTTCCACCTGAAGCTGGGGCATTTCAGCCTCGCTTGGTTGGCGGTGGTTTTCGTCTCCCGTCCTGACTCCTCTCCACCTGTCTTTCGTGCAGGTATTGATGTCGAACAGGTTTCTGTTGTCATCAACTTTGACCTCCCCGTGGACAAGGATGGGAACCCGGACAACGAGACCTACCTGCACCGGATCGGGCGCACGGGCCGCTTTGGCAAGAGGGGCCTGGCAGTGAACATGGTTGACAGCAAGCACAGCATGAACATCCTCAACAGAATCCAGGAGCATTTTAGTGAGTGGCTGGGAGTGGTCCCCGCCAGGGCCCTTCCTTACAGGGGGAGTCCAAAGGAGGGGGAAGGGTGGGTTCTCCCGTGGCCCCGAGAGAAGCCTGTGTCCCTGGAACAGTCCCCTCCTTTCCTACAGTATGGAAGTCTCAAAGAGCACACCTGGTGAGGTTTCCGGGCCAGGGACTCAAATGACAGTGCCCCCCTGGCCAGGCCGAAGGGCCTAGGGCTGTCCCTTGCTCAGGCACCGGGAGTCTTTGGGGTCAAGGGAAAGATGGCTGTGGCCAGAGGCATGGCCCTGTTCCTAGGCCGGGCAGAACCCTGTGTGTTTCCTCTCTCCCTGCCGTGCTGTCCCTTCCCTAGGTGTGTGTCTCCATGGGAGCCCTGCGTTGATTGCTCTCTGAATTCTCATTTTTCTCCCCAGATAAGAAAATAGAAAGATTGGACACGGATGATTTGGACGAGATTGAGAAGATAGCCAACTGAGACGCTCCACCAGTCGCCAGTGCCCACCCCCGGCATTCCGCCTGCACGGGAGACCGGTGCTTTCACGGCACAGGCCTCGACAGTCACCACAAAGACAAAGGCAGAGGAGAGAGAAACTACCTACCTCATTTTAAATTACGTTTGGACTAGACAAAAATTGTGCAACTGATGGGGGAAGGTAGAAAAAAATTGTTTACACAACTTCTAAGGATTAGGCGTGAATACACAGAAATTTACCTTTTGGAAATTCCGTCTTTTTTTTGGCCAGCTTCTTCCCCATCCTGATGTTGTCGCTAATCACTTGCTCAAGATCCCTGTGGCAGCCCCTGCCTATTTTCTGGCCAGGAGTGTTCAGGACAGCCACCAGACAGAATAGAGGTGAAGAGGGACGCAGAGAGAGGCCCCAAGTAGGATAGGTGTATAAGCCGGCCATCATGTTTGGAGTATGGCATGAGGCCTCTGAGCTGGTGCTTTGGATTTCGGGTGGGACAGCTCATCTGAGTGTTGTCAGCTCCCTCTGTCCTGATGCCCACAGCAAGAAGGGATTTGCTAAGCATGGACCGAAATGCCACCCTGGGACTTTTGCTGTATGCAGGCTTGTGTTGCAGGAGCACGACATCCTGGTTCTCATCAGCAGGTGCAATTTGTGTATGGTGCACATCTGATTATTGGTGGTCCCTTGACTGTGCTTGAGCAAGGCCTGTGGACAAATCATTGTGGAGTTTGTGGTGGCCCCCTAGCTTGCTGCACAACCTGGGCTCACAGGCACTTGCAGCATCTTTTTTATAATCCCTAATGTCACCTTGACCCCTTAGAGCCCCAGGCAAATAAAAGGTGATCTAAGGTTTGGATCTTCAGTAAAAATTTTGGCTTCAGGTCACTCATGGCCAGCCTCAAAGCAGCTCCAGAAGTGATCAACAGTAGTCACAAATACTTGCTTTGTCTCCAGATCCCAGAAGGCAAGATTTGTCAGAGCTGGGGTATGATTTCAGGTATCTGGTGTCTTGGTTGTAAAGTGATTCGAAACGACTGTGTTCACAGTTCTTGGAATACAGAGTACAATAAGGGACTAGAAGGACTATGGCCATTCACCTGTGCACTGCAGGAGTAACTGCCAAGGACTTGGCTCCCTCCTTACTGGGCATCTTTGTGCAGAACAGTCAGAGTGAATATTAGTAACGGATGATTCCTCATACCTGGCCAAGGCCGATGGTACCCACGGAATTACAGAGCAAGGAGGAGATGAAACTGAAACCCCAGCCACAAGGAGTCCTCTCCAGCTCTACTGAATGGCTACTTTGTCTAGGCCCAGCCCTGGAAGAGGGATTTTCTGTGATGAAAACTATTCCAATCCCAGACTATCCTTATAAGTGTTTCCATGTTTTAGGACCAGATCTGTTTCCTGGGAAGGAAAGGGGCCAATGCCAGCCTTCAGGTGGTTTCCTTAATTTGACATTACAGACACTGCAGAGAGACCAACAGACTGCCAGTCCTGCCACATTTCCCCAGCAGGCATTTGACTGTAGAGTCTTCTCTGCTTCTGGCCAACTCTGACCCACCTTAGGAGTCTTTTAAGAAGAGAAGAAATTTTTGTTTCCCATCTTCTGCAGTGCTGTGGACCAACCTTGAAATAACTAAAACAAAGGCAATAATTAAAAAGGAGTAGTACTGACTCCTCACAAGGCTGCAGGCTGACCTACATTCCTCACTTCTCACAACATTTATAATCTGTCTACTGCGTAGCCCTAAATCTAAGCAGGAAAATGGGAAGGAATAGGCTTCAGACTTTTCAATAGTAGGAGTAAATAGGTATCTGGCAGAAATCTAGATCAACAGTTCTGAATCTGGGGGCTTGGACTCCTAAGAATTCACTAGATGGGTTTCATGGAGTCTACGAAATGTATGCCATATTTTGAGTTTAAATGCATTTTCCTGGGGACAGACTCCCAAAGGAATGTCTTTTAATAAGGATAGACTCATTGTTATGGATGGCTCTGCAGTGTCACCCCAGTATCCCTGCAGTCCATATTTCTTCACAATCCATATTCATCCCTGTCAGAGCTTGGCTCCCAGGGCTCAGTGGTCCACAGCCTCTGTGACCGTGTTGTCTTCAGACATCAGTGATGTACTGGAATGTACTGAGCCCTTCATAAGCTTCAGTCCCAAGTTTTTTTTACTCTTTTTAGTAAGTTCCCATGTATGGAATGATAAACTGTCCTAGAACAGAGAAACTCACTTGGAAAAGGAGATTTTTGGCCCAGTGGAAGATTCTAGATATGTTCATTATCCATAAACAGTGGATTTTATTGGGTTTTTTTGGAGTGTCATTGAATGGCTGTGTGCATAAGTAGTCAACTGGTGATGTATTTGTTATTGATGTTAACTGAATTTAATTATGAAGTGTGCGTGTTACCAGGACACCATTAATGAGTATAAAAAACCAGTATGTTTTGGGTTGCCGGTATTAGTGATCATGCCGAAGTGGAGACATTTATGATTCCACAGGTTAGTCATCACCTGATACTACTATTCCATTTCAGAGTTGACACTGCTCCAGCATGAACAGTTGTGATGTCTCTATAGGCCAAGGGCCCTACTCAGTTGCCACAGGGCTTCTCACGTTCCTTTCTTCCTGTTGGTAAACCAGAGAATACTGGTTACCTAATTAGAAAGAAGGTAGATGCCAGTAAAAACAAAGTCCTTACATTCTATTTTTCTAGTCCTAGGAAAGAAATACAAATAGGCCTTGAAAGCAGGTCTTCTCCCTTTGTTTCACCCTGTTTATCTAACATGAAGGCAGTTTCATTCAGTGTCACTGGTATTCAGAAGGTAAGGATTTCTTAGGCTAGAGATTTCATGAAGGAGCGGAGTTTGCTTCTGAGAGACAAGTGACAAGAGTGCCACAGGCAGTGGAAAGTAATATTAAAACTAAAATAGCTTCTCCAGGATAAATCCTGGAAGGGCAGTGAGGAGAGCAGCTTTGCCCTGTGGACAGAGAAAAGTCTCATGAGGTACAAAACGAAAACCTGACTGAACAGTGTTTGGATTTATTAGTGAACAGTCACAGATTGTTAAATCACAGAAAGGAAGTGGTGAAATTGGTGGGGGTTTCTGCGGGGGGGGGTAGTCTAGCAGAGGTATGTAGGATATATTGGAGCTGGAAAAGGCAGGCATCTGAGAAAACAGTTTGAAGATGATCGCATCAGTCCCATCACAAAGCAAGTGCCAAGATGCCACTGATTGTACTGAAAGTACAAAAGAAGTAGACTGGAGGGATATCACAGCAAAAATGATGGGCTTTTATACCTACTTGTTATTCCAAAAAGGATTTGTGGCTCTAAAAGATCCATTGTATAAAATTCTGGGGAGAAACCCAAAGGGAAGGTTTGGAAAGAACAGATGCATCAGGAATGAGTCTCATATATAGCATGTATGATTTCAGGCCTGTCACCTCTGCAAGCAGGGACTTGGCCCCTCTTTAACATCTTACAGATTTCTGGGGTCTTCAGGTTTCTCTTGGTCCTAGACACAGATGTCATGTTCTTAGGAACTTTGCAGTTTTACCTGACTTGGCTTTTTCTGCTTGAGAATAATTGTTCTTTATTCTGTTGATTGAATCAGAGTGCAGCATCTTCCAAAAATGACACAATGGAGGTAAGGGAACCAGAGGGGCTGATGCTAGAAGACTCCAGTACCTTGCATTTCCAATCCTGAATCTGGGACAGGGCTTTCCCAGAGTAGCTTCAAACACTTTGTTGGAAGTCAGACCAAGTGGAGATCTGCTTGGAGGGTATTTGTCACACTCAATACTTATGCCCTCTTGTCCTCCAGCCCCTGTTGCTAGATGCTTCTGCCTTGGCTTAGAAACCATTCTGGTGTGATTATTCATCGGAGCAAGGGGTTTCTCCATAGTAGTTCTAGTTGTAAGACGGGTGATAGGAGTAGTGGAGGAAAATATTAGATGTGGTCTGAGATTGGTGACTGTTTGGGTGTCAGCTGCTCAGGTGAGATCATTCTCTTTTCCACTTTAGCCATCTCTCTCAGGCAGGATGGCAGATCTTTTGTTCATGCAGATCTATAGCCCAGGGCTACTGTCATCTCCCTTAAGAAGGTGGGGTGGGGGGCGGTATTTAAATGGAACTCTCCTGGAAGTACCAGTACACATAAAGATAGAACTGTACTGTTCTATCTTTATTCATATGCTTCCACCATCCTTGGAATTCTCCAATTGGAGAAAAGCCAAGTAGTCTCAGGTTAGCTTATCCCTGAGAGCACACATCCCCATGCTTAGACTTGAAAGAACAAGAGTCACCTCTGGTCAGGTGTGTGGTCAAGTGTGGTAGGTGTGTTGTCCTCTGGTCTGCGTTCCTCTCAGACACCAACAGCTTCTAAATTTACACAAGAAATGTCCTGATAAACCAATGCCAATTGAATCCAGGTTTAACAACAGAATAGGTCCCAGTGTTCTGGCACTGTTTTAGCTTCTAAAACAAGTAAGGTTATGCTAGAGGGACCAATATTGTTCTATTCATCTGATTTTGTCTTTAATGCCCATGGAGGGGACAACCTCAGAAACAGTTGCAGTACCTCTAGCCTCCTGGTTCATTAGTCCTTTCTTTTTTTCAGTAGGCTGACGCAGGGCTTGAACTCGCAACCTTGAGATTAAAACCTGATCTGACCAAGAGTCATATGCTTAACCAATGAAGCCACCCAGGGGCCCCTCATTAGTCCTTTCAGGTTAACTCTTCCACTCTGTCCAGTTACCATTTTAAGACTTTCACTCACCTCCACCTTCCAACTCCATTATCTCCATACTCGGAGTAGACAATCAACACAAGGAAACTCCCTCAGCTTTCTGCCACCAGACCTTTCCCCAAGCACAGCTATCCTTCCCTCTCCCTCCTATTACAATGGGAGAAGTCCCTATTATCTAAATTTCTCTACCAGTGCACCAAATTCCCTTTCCTGTGGCTGTTTAAGAACTTGCTCCATCTACTCCCTCTCATATTTTCAACCTCTCCCACCCCACTAGCTGGTTCCCCCTCCCCTCAATTTTTCCGTGTGTGTGTGTGTGTGTGTGTTTGTAGTAGTAGTAGTAATAGTAGTAGTAAAATACACACAACAAAATTTACCATCTTAACCATTTCTAGGTGTACAGTGTATTGAATACATTCATAATGTTGTAAAGCCACCACCACCACCATCCATCTCCGTAATTCTTTTGGATCTTGCAAAACTGAAACTATACCCAAGGAGTAGGGGGAGGGGAAGAGCGAGAGGGCGAGAGAAGCAGACTCTCCATTGAGTGCAAAGCCCAACACAGGGCTTGATCTCACGACCCTGAGATCACAACCTGAGCTGAAACCAAGAATTAGACGCTCAACCGACTGCGCCACCCAAGAGCTCCTAAAAAACACTTTTGAATTATATTTGACTCCTCAACAGCATTTAGCACTATAACAGTCCCTTCCTCTAACCACTATTCTGGTGACTAAAGTGACACCACACTCACTGGTCTTGCTCTACTCTGACCACTTCTCTTGTCTCCTTGGTAGGCTTTTTAATTTACCTCTTAACTTTTTTATTTACGTCTTAATTTACCTCTTACCCCTGCCTCTCTGCCTACTTGTTCTGTCAAATAAAGAAATTAAAAAACAAACAAACAAAAACTGCCCACATGACACTTGCACTTGGGATGTCTTCAAGGAATCCTGTACTCAACATACCCAAAATTGAACCCATCATCTTGTACTACCACCAAATACCATCACTCCAAAAAATTCATGTTCTGCTCTTGACTCTTCCTCTAATTTTATCTCACAAAATGGCACTACAATTGTCTGTTGCTTAAGCCAGAAATCTGGATTCATCAGGAATTTCCTGCCCCCCCCAACCAATAATCTCCAAGTCCTTTTGTATCTATTATCCATTGCTGTGTAACACATAACCCCCAAAACAATGGCTCAAAAGAACTCAGTCTGGGTGGCTCTGCTGGTCTCTCCCAGGCTCACTCACACAGCTGTATTCCCCTGGCCGGTGTCTGGGCTCAGTTGAGACAGCTGCGCCCCTCCATGTGGTCTTTCATCTTCATAACATGGTAGATGGTCTCTGGGTTTCAGGAGGGGAGAGCAGAAGTTCTAAGTTCTCTTAAAGCCTTGGCTCAGAACTCCCCAGTGCACTTTTTTTTTAAGATTTTGACAGAGAGAGAGCACAAGCAGGGTAGAGGGAGAAGGAGAAGCAAGGCTCTCTGCTGAGCAGAGAGCCCGATGTGGGGCTCGATCCCAGGACCCTGGGATGACCTGAGCTGATGGCAGACACTTAACTGACTGAGCCACCGGAGAGCCCCTCCCCAGTACACTCCTGTCACATTCTTTTAGTCGAAGAAAATGACAAGGCCAGTGCAGAGATGGTAGGGAAATAAATATCTTCTCATGGGAGGAACTTGAAGTATCTGTGGCTTTTTTTTTTTTTTTAAGATTTTATTTATTTATTTGAGAGAGAGAGAATGAGACAGAGAGAGCACATGAGAGGGCGGAGGGTCAGAGGGAGAAGCAGACTCCCTGCCCGAGCAGGGAGCCCGATGCGGGACTCGATCCAGGGACTCCAGGATCATGACCTGAGCCGAAGGCAGTCGCCCAACCAACTGAGCCACCCAGGCGCCCTGTGGCTATTTTTAATCCACCACCTTCTATCGGGTTGAACCAAATGGGACTGTTTGACAGTTGTTGACCTACAAAAGTGGCACTTTTATATGGTTCAATCTGACGTTTCTTGAGTTCACCCTGGTCTAGATCACCACTGTCATCTGTCTACTACATTAGCTTCCTAGCAGTCGCTCCTGCCTCCAGTCAGATTTTCCTCCAGTTCATTTGGAGCCAGTGTGGTCTTTCTAACATTTGAGTCTGATGATCCCACCCTCCAGGTTAAAACTATCGGGGCGCCTGGGTGGCTCAGTTGTTAAGCGTCTGCCTTCAGCTCAGGTCATGATCCCAGGGTCCTGGGATCGAGCCCCGCATCGGGCTCCCTGCTCAGTGGGAAGCCTGCTTCTCCTTCTCCCACTCCCCCTGCTTGTGTTCCTGCTCTATCTCTGTCAAGTAAATAAATAAATCTTTAAAACAAAAACGAAACAAAAACCATCCCCTGCCCCCAAACACACTTTCCATTTTTCTTAAGTAAGCCCAGAGGCACCTGGGTGGCTCAGTCCATTAAGCATCTGCTTTTGGCTGAAATCATGATCCCAGGGTCCCAGGAGAGAGCCCTCTGTCAGGCTACCTGCTTGGTGGGAAGTCTGCTTCTTCCTCTCCCCTTGCTCCTCCCCCCACTCGTGCTTGCTAATAAATTAAATCTTTAAAAAAAAAGGGGGGGGGGATGCCTGGGTGGCTCAGTCGGTTGGGCATCTGCCTTTAGCTCAGGTCGTGATCCCAGGGTCCTGGGATTGAGTCCCGCATCAGGCTCCTTGCTCATCGGGGAGCCTGCTCCTCCCTCTGCCTGCCACCCCTCCTGCTTGTGCACTCTCACTCTCACTCTGACAAATAAATAAAATCTTAAAAAAATGATAAGCCCCAACTGCATAACATTGTATGTACTAACTAGGCTCTCTAGATCAGGTGCCTCACTTGCTTTACTTTCTCCCTCGTACTCTCTGCTCCACTATCACTGAAATTTGCCCTTGTGCTGGGCTAGGTCTCAGAAGTTGGTGGTCCTGTGCATTTCCCTCCCCAATTTCTTTTTTTTTTTTTTAAGATTTTATTTATTTATTTATTTATTAGAGAGCGAGCGAGAGAGAAACAGCATGAGAGAGGAGAGGGTCAGAGGGAGAAGCAGGCTCCCCGCCGAGCCGGGAGGCCGATGTGGGACTCGATCCCAGGACCCCGGGATCATGACCCGAGCCGAAGGCAGTCGCCCAACCAACTGAGCCACCCAGGCGCCCATGCCTCCCCAATTTCTTGAAAGCATATTTCCTCCCCCAGCCCACTTTGAAGCCAAAACAAAAATTCAAAGATAATGCAAGGACTTAAGGGTGAGGTGAAGGGGTTTTCACCTCCAGGACTGTGGCTAAGACGAGTGTGGGGGGAAAGAAGTTAACTAAAAATGGGAGCCCTCCAGTGCTACAGGCAGCCAGGGAGCAGTGTGGAAGGAGCTCAGAGGATACTCCCTCTGCTCCACCCTGGGGAGCTCAGTCCTCATCTCTTGGAAGTCCCTCTATCCCCAACAGAGCACAGGAGACTGGGATACCCCGCATGGGGAGAGAAGCCTGGAGGGAGAACTCACCCCTCCCCAAGATGCCCCCTAACAACCTGTGACCAGTTGCATCCACTGATTACACTTCTCCTTGGAACTGCTCTCCCAATCCTTCCCTTTCTTCTGTCTCTTCCTGGTCCTTCCCATTTCAGTGGTAAAAATCATTTCTTCATGAAGGCATGCCTTACTCCCATCATAATCTCCCATCATGCCTTGTACTTGCTTTATTAACATTGTCAGGTAACCTTCTAAAGGTCTATATGGATTAACTTATTAACTCTTCATAACAAATGTTATGATTCCTATTTTACAAATGAGCAACAGGCACAGAGAGGTTAAGAAATTTGCCCTACAACATATAGCCAGGAAGGAGCAAGCCAGGCCTCGTGCCTGGGCAGTCTGGCTCCAGGGTCACGTTCTTAACCACTAGGCTATATCTGCTTCATACACAAATATGCCTAGGTTTAAGACTGTTTGTTTGGTGTCTGTGTCCCTCGTACTTAAGTACAGTAACGGCAGGAAGTAGTTTTACTCAATCATCACTGAATTCCTGTCAGCAGGATGGGTTTTACAGAGAAATCTGCTTTGCTAATGTGTTAATGAATGAAAACATGGAATACATTTTACATATTTTCTTTTAAAAGTATCCCCAATCACTTTTTCATACAATTTTTTTGTTATTATCATTATAAATTAGTCATTAGACCTTTGTGGGCCAAATACAAACTTAGTCTGGCTCCTGCCATTATTCCTGTTATTTTCCAAATCCTTACAGCATCCCCCTTCCCATTCCCCTCCAATTGCTTCCTGTACATAGAGGCATCATTAGGGAAAAGTGGTTCCCACAGCAGAGCCACCATCCTATCAGGCCCACCCCCACCAGAGGCACAAGCATTTCAAGTCCCTGTACCCATTTGCTCAGAAGAAATGACACCACAGAGATAGGTGTGTCCATGAGAGATGGTTATTTGTTGATCACCAGTTCATTCACTGATTCATTCACTACCTAATTCCACAACTGTTTACTGTGTCCCTGCTCTGGGCAAGATGCTGGGGAACCAAATGTGAGTAAAACAGGTAAGGTCCCTGCCCACAGGATTCCCAGCTGAGTGATGAAGTTTAAAGAATCACGTGATCGGGCAATTCC